AGTGGAGGAAGACCTAGTCAGACACAGTTAAGATGCTTTACAGAAAGTCAAAGAAGGGGACATGCAAGTAAGCAGAGGTTTGGACACAGAGGTAGTTTTTAAGAAGCATCCTAAAGGAAGAGAGAGGGAGGTTAGAGGGATTTAGGTAGATAATTTGAGCCTAGACAGCTGAAGGCACAGTTAATTACCAGTACTGCATAGATTGCAAAAGGTGCAAATAGGTACCAAAGCAAATATTGAAAGTTCACCCATATTCCATAAGAAGATATAACTCAACACTAAACAATAATCAACATTGACTGCAGCATATTGGTTAATAGTGGAGGCCATCCAAGTTCTATAAATAAGGGATAAGTTAAAATCTCATTACTAAAAGTTTGTAAAACTCCATGAACAATAAACAGTTAATTGAGATAGAACTATGACAAGTTATATTGACAGTTACATAGAATCTATGTCATCACCAAACTCAGTAACAAGACAGGAGACTTACAGTGATACTGTGATAAACAGGAAGCTCCAATTAGACAATCCAATGTCTAAAGCAGTGGCGAGGGCTGTAACAAAGAATTTTTTTTAAAAAATCAATACGAAAAATCAGTACAATTAAGTCAACCATTAGTTGATCACTAATGGCATTGTTATTGGATGAAAACATTGGGTGGTATGATGGTCAGTTACCCACTCTAATCCTGTTTGCACCCCTTTCTGCTTTGCAGTCATCTACCAAAATTGGTCTGTTTGCTTTACTCAAATTTTAAAAAATCTAATATGTTCTAGCATTCTTTCTATAACATTCTACATTTCCTTGTCTCATTTCTCAGGTGTTTGAAGTTACTGCTCTCATCACAAATATTCAATTTCATAGTTTTGTCACATTTGAACAGGTATCTACTAAAATATCTTTCATAGCTACAACTCCTTCCTCATCAACTGGTCTTGGTTTTCATATTTCATGTTTCTGATCCACCCATGATTTTGGATACTACATGGTATTAAGTGCTCCTCAAAATGGTTTTCATTGCTTTCCAAGATCTACACTCAACACTATGTACAGTCTGTTAGCTCTCTCCTTTGCAGCACCATGTCACTCTCTTGTGAGTTGTCCTAGAATGTAATTTCATGACTATGCTTCTCTTTATTCAGCATTTTACCAATGCATTCCCTTTTCTTCCTCTCAGGCACCAAGGATCACAAGTTTCATCAATGTTTAGATACCAACTCTCCTCTAGATCCTCCTTCAGTTTTCTCTGGGGTTAAGGACTGTGAGATTGTCTGATCTCCAGAGGAGGTGAGATTAGTGGTGGTCTAGGAAACAGTGCTTGATGTTAGATCGTGTAGTAGATAGTAGATAGGTCGTGGTCCAGATAGGAAGAGGTGTCAGTGAGCTGAACGTCATCTCTGCAAGGTGGGAGGTTGCTCACTAAACAAACAGTAGCACCCCACTGTCATTGGTTTCAATGTCAGGGTTGAACTTGAGAGAGTAAGTGTTACAAGATTAAAAGGAAGTGGTCTAGAGTGAGTCAGGGAGCAGAGGAATTGAGATGGTTGAAATCACAACTGCAGCTCCCAATGACAGTATCTAGAAATGATAGGAGGCCAGAAGAAATGTCCAGATGGAATGAAAATTCTGAATATGGGAGACAGTCTTCCATGAGGGTGATACCTAGCCAAAGATGAGTACACATTAAGACAAAATTCCAAACTCAAAAATCATAAAATGGGGTCATAAATGAATGAAGCTGAGATTGCATTGTTTGAGGCAGAGGAGATGGTGAAAGTAGTTTAAAAGGGAGATTGGAAGGAGAAACGCAGCCATTTTTACATCTGCTTTCTTAAAAGTGAAGAAATGGAGCAAGTTAGCAGTCAACATGTACTGTGTCAGCAACAGTTAAAGGTACTGGGAAATGATACACTATGAAGTGGGAAAGGATAGGGGAATGGTGGTACAGGGGTGTTGAGCCTTAAGGCTTATATGAGGACAGCAGCAGTGACACTAGGCAATTAAATGGGGCTCAGTTTTTGATAGTCTAAGGCCGAACAGCACACAGTGAAGTAATGAAGGACAAATAGTCATGAAATTGCCTCAGGTAAATCTGACTTTATTCATGGGTTTACTCCAGCTCGGTGCATATGTACATTTTAATACTGCAACAAGCCCGAGAACCTTACAGTCTAAGATTTTCACTGGGTTTAAGATAAATATTTGAGCCCATGTTCTTACATGTAAGCTGGTGTGATTGATGGTTGGCAATATAACTAGTCTGTACCAGCTGAAAACACTCCTTTCAACCCAAAAGCCTGGTCCCACACATCCTTTGTAGCAGACTTCCAATTTATTAATTTTTCAGACTGACAGTGTCTGGTGTGGCTGATGTTTTGATCTCAGTTGATGATGCGGAGCAGTCAGATCCCAGAGCAAGGACTTTTTTTCTTTTTGTTTACCACCGTGTCTGTCACTGAACATGTTAACAAGAGGCTGCCAATGTACTTTCACCAAAAGAGCATAACAGTTTGCTACACATAAAAAGATGAACTTATTACAAAAACTATTTGAAATGATCTTACTACAAATATTAGGAAGAAAGGTTCAACTAATTTTCCTCAGCAAAAACCTTACAGACACTCATATCTCAGCTGAAATGTTACCCTGTCTGTGGACTAAAGTTCCTTCTTCAGATTGCACAAGCATTTCCTTGGTTTCTTTATTGTCAAAGTTCAGAGCATTCATTCATTGCTATTTTCTTGAGTTAATGATCCAAGCTGCTAACTCAGTACATTTACTGCATAATATGTATTCTTTAAACTTGTGTCTTCAAAAGCCTCGTAGGATGTCTTCCTCTCTGACAACTCAACAGCCTCTGCTTCTGGAGTTTTCTTCTATGCAATTCACAACTTCTCCCTAGTTCTGCCCTAGCTGTTTGGTGGCTGATAAACTAATAGCACTTCTGCTGGAAGGGATCTTTTATGTTTAAATGAACTTGCCTGACTTCTTCAGGATCTTGTCACTTTCTGTGTCACTGGACTCTTGTCACTAGCTACAACAGTTTCTTCTTTCTTTCTATTTATTCTAATGCACTGAATTGTTCCCCTCAAGGGTTTAAAAGCTTCATTTAAATACATGTAAGTACAAGCCTCCAGACAAACTATTCCACTCCCAGAACAAATTTAAAATGAAAATAAAAACCATGGTTTCCCTTCCTTTTCTCTCAAAGGGTAACATATCATGAATTGTCACCACAGTGACAACCAGGGGAGACTAGAGTATAAAGTTACCTGTGGCTGCAACCCTCTCCATGTACAATTTCCATGACAGACAGATGCGTGACTTTCCAGTCCACCACGAGGCAAGTGTTCGGCTCATTCCAGAGAAGGCAAAGATCATCACAAGGTGAACCAAAGTCATGAAGATAGGGTAATGAAAATTCTAAGAAATAGGGAGAAAACATGTAAAAATCTCACAAACCAACTAGAAATGTCTCGTGCTCTCACTAGAATTTTGGATGATTTGCTGTTTTATAAATAACAAAAATAATACCATGAACAATAGAATAGATTGGAAGGGAAGGCAGGCAGTGGTTTCATATTGATATCAGCATGTACACACTTTCCCCACTGAGTGTCAGAGCGTTAACAGTCAGTCAGAAAATGGAATTACCTTCTGAAAGTCCGCACAGAAGGCTTCAACTTCTCCTTAATGTGAGAAAGAATGCAGGAGAAAGTGAGCATTATGCAGATTTGAAGGGCATCTTGCAGATATCTCTAAATACCAGCTCCATTCAGTCGAGCGTTAATCAGGCACTGTAATTCTGGCAGATTACCCCTTTCCCACCGAACACCACGATCTTGAAGCCAATTGTGCTTGCGGTTTTGACTGGCTTCAAGATCATGGCATTTCATGGAAAATGGTAATCTGCCAGAAATACAGCTCCTGATTAACGCTCGACTAAATGGAGCTGGTATTTAGAGATATCTGCAAGATACCCTTCAAATCTGCATAATGCTCACTTTCTCCTGCATTCTTTCTCACATTAAGGAGAACCTGAAGCCTTCTGTATGGATTTTAAGAAGGTAATTCCATTTTCTGGCTGAAATCAAGAGCAACAAAGCAGTACAGTACTGAGGGAATACTGTGCTGCCAGCTTTCGGATGACACAAGGCCCTGTCCTATCTTGTCAGGTGGATTAAAAAAGTCCCACGGCACTATTTCAAAGAGAAAGGGAGTGATCCCACTTGTCCCAGACAATATTTATTGCTTAATCAACAGACATTATATATAAAAAAAACTTGAGTCACTATTCCACTGCTGTTTGTGGCAGCGTGCTGCTCATAAATTGGCTATCATATTCCTACAACAGTGATTACACTTCAAAAGTACTTCACTGTCAGTAAAGCATTTTGGGATTTCTATTGATTGTGAAAGGCACCATATAAATGTCTGTCTATTATCTGCATGTTGCATCTTACTGCTGAGATCATCTCCTTCAGCCTAACTACAAACTGAACTCTGGGACTCATGGTCTATATAATTTAGTGCTTGACCTACAATAAAACCTGAGATATCAGGGTGGAATATGACTCCTGACTGCATCGCAGTACCCAGGAGAATCTTGTACGATCAAACAAACTGAAACGAATGAGGCCAGTTGAGATACCACGTGGAATGTAACAAATACGTTTCAGTCCTACGTCAATTATTCTGTGTTCACTTTGGGGACTCCAACCTGTGATAACTGAAGGGAGTATTGCTGCTGATAAAGCAGCAAGAGACTAACTAGAGATAGCCAAACATAATGTTAGTCCAAAAGAAATAGACAAAGCTGTAGGAAAATAATGTCCTCAAGGGGATAGCATAACAGTAGCTTGCAATACAGATACAAGTTAACAGGTGCCATATTATTAAACAAACACAGATTTAACAATTAATTTCAAAGGAAACACTATAATATGTGATAATGCATATTTTAAACACAAACACACATGTCACCACAGAAGTCAATTAACTCTCAGGTTCCAGTCAAACAGATCTCCCTTCCCCCTCCCCAGAAAATACTTTTCAGGTCAAAAGCTTTGATCACACATCTCCGCACTTCTTAGAAAATGTCCTACTCTTTGCAAAAAAAAAAAATAAGTCCCATCGGGAAGCTTTAATTACCACTGCCCAATCTGCATAAGGCAGTTCAAGTTATCACCTTACAAAGTGTGTTATTTTTCCCTCCAAGAACTGTCAATGATATTCTTGGTTTGTGAGACAACAGCACAGTTGCAGCCAAGGTTGTTGTTCTCTGACTATTTTCTACACACTTACTAATGCAAAAAGTTCAATGGGGTCATCAACCTGAATCAGGTTGGAGCTGATGCTCTAAATTTTAAAAACAAAATCAAAGAACTATGGATGCTGGAAACCTGAAACAAAACAGAAATTGCTGGAGAAACTCAGCAGGTTTGGCAGCTAGTTTGCCAAAGTCAACATTTGGAGGGAAAGCAAAGTCAACATTTCAGGTCCAGTTCTGAAGAAGGGTCACTAGACCCAAAATGTTAACTGTTTTCTCTCCACTGATGCTGCCAGACCTGTTGAGTTTCTCCAACAATTTCTGATTTTGTTGCAGCTGATTATCTACTAACTTAACATACTTTGCATGATCAAAATTACTGGTCTTCAGAAACAAAAATGGGCCTTTGCCTTTTCCAACAGCAGCTCTCTCATCTGAGTCAGAAATTCCACTTCAAAGACTGGAGCATGGAGCACTGGCTGACACTCCAGTCCCGTAGTGAAAGACCACTATAACATCAGAGGTGACATCCTCAGCTGAGGCATTAAATTCTCGCCCATCTGCCTTATCAGCAAGATGTGAAAGATCTCTTGACATTCTTCTAAATAAGGGAGTTATTACTGGTTTCTAGGCCAGATGATCTGGTTAATGTTTTATTACTGTTTGTGCAACCTTAGTGCGCAAACTGGCTGCCACGTCCCACACAACAGTAACCTATGAAAAGCACAGCGCTTTTGGGTTGCTCTGAGGATGTGAAAGTTGCTATACAAACGCAAGTATTTACATTCATTGTAGTTTCTGAGCAGCACCCTCCCAGCTCCGGGGAGAGTGGAGCATAAACCCTTCATCGCGGATATCTGTACTTAGCTTACCTTCATCACCCATTTGTTGTAGAAAGTGATCCCTATGGAGAAGCAATAATAAAAGAGCACCAGGGTGACTGTGAGCAAGGCTTTCTTTAAGAAGTGCAAGCACAGGCCGAGCTCACTCATGATGCAGCTTGCCTCCTCCTCCTGATGGTCCTTTGACTGCCCAGAGTCTCCCAGTCCCGCTTACTCAGGACTCGGTAGTGACTCCAAGCTGCCGAACCGACCCGAGTTAGCCATCGTACGGCAGGGAGATGCCGGTCACCGCGGCGGGCCGCCTCCGGAGCAACAACCGTCCAGAAGGACAGACAGGCCCCGCCCATTCAACGGGATCCGCCCCTGGACAATCATCCGCCCAGTAGACCGGCCAGGCTCCGCCCACATGTAGATCAGGATCCGCCCCTGGACAAGCATTCGCCCGCGAGTCCGGCCAAAGCCCCGCCCACATTTAGATCAAGACCCGCCCCTGGGCAAGCATCCGCCCGCGAGTCCGGCAAAAGCCCCGCCCACATTTAGATCAAGACCCGCCCCTGGGCAAGCATCCGCCCAGTCGACGGGCCAGACCCCGCCCACATTTAGATCAGGACCCGCCTCTGGACAAGCATCCGCCCGCGTGACCGGCCAGGCCCCGCCCATTGGGCGGACCAGACCCCGCCCACATATGGATCGGGGCCCGCCCCCGGACAAGCATCCGCCCGCCAGACCGCCTAGGCCACAGGCCAGGCCCCGCCCACATCCGGATCGGTGCCCGCCCCTGTGCAAGGCCCGCTTGTATGGGTAGACCCCGCCCACACACTGGATGTCCCCGCCCCCCGTATTGGAAAGGTCCCATCCCCCAAAAGGACGGACCCGCCCTCTGACACGTCAGGCTTCGCCCCTACATCCAAAACTGCGCCCCGACAGTATCAGACCGCCACAGCATTATGGGAGAATTGACTTTGAAACTTCATCAGCTCAACTATCAACTACTCCCCTTATAGTCGGATCTATTGTTGCTTTCAATCCTTATCATTGTGAAAGAATTGCATTTTTGTTTATTTCCTTTCTGATGACCGGGAGGGGACCTGTCACCATCGCTCCGCCATGTTGGTAAGGTCCAGGAATGCGCCTGCGCTGACCAGGTAGCGGTGTTATCTTCAGGGGAATGACTGGGTACCTGTCCCTTAGATCTCTATTACAGACTGATAACGGGGTTTTGTTGTGAGAAACTTCACACTCAGAATGTTTTTCGTTTGTTCTTGTCTTCATCTAGCTTCTTGTAAAATATGCTCTTCCCCTCACCTTAACCATTTAACTAACTATTTATACCTCAACCTTTATCTGAATGTTTCTTCTTCTGAAGTTTCTCTTGAATTCTCTGTTGGATATATGAGTGACTTTGTTATATTTCCAATATCTGCAATGTTTTGCTTTTGTGACCTGTTTGTGATCCTTCTTTCTGGTGTTCCTCAAGGAGTGGAACATGTTCGCTACATCGTATCAAACCCTTTTATGATCCTAATCTACCGTTGTGTCACTTCCCAACTTTCTCTTGTTGATAATGGTGCAACAGTGTTTTAGTTTTAAGAGTGACATGCATCAAAATGTTTAAAATGCATAAACCTGAATTAGTGCTTCCTAATTAATAGTTTGTCACATTATTGAATGAAAGTTGTCTCCTGAATTCACCCTGGATTTGCCAACCACAATGACCCACTGCCCCCCCTGTGTAAACAATCTATCACTTATAAAGACTACTTTGGGACATCCAGCTTTGGCACTGTATAAAAGTAAAATGCAATGTTTGATGATGTTTGCTGACCATGATGTCTTTTTGTGGATTTAAGTTGCTTCCTAGGGGGTTAGCTCTCTTAGGGAGCTCCTCATCATTTATATGTTTCGTATTTTCTCTTATCTTGTCCTCTCAACTGCTTTAAGTTTCCCCGATCCCATTTTGATCCAAATTTGCAAGTGGTTTAACAGCTGGTTGGTTTAACCTTTCTGTTTAGTGCTCCACACCCATTGTCAGCTCTTTGTGAATGTTGCCGTAGATTTGGATCTGGATGCCATCTAAACTTTGGCATCAACCCCACATTTCTGCAGTGGACGAAAAAAGAATATATCAAGCCTGATCATTCTTGACACCATGTTCAAAGTGTTCTGTGTTTATTGGCTGCCACAGATTGGACACAAAGACACTTAACAGCAGTGGTAGAATTCACATAAGTCAGAATGTCAGCAAGGATGGAAAGGGTACAATTGCATTCCTCCAACCACCTTATGTAGCACATGTCAAACTTTTAGTGCTGAGTGAATACAAGTTGTTATTGTGTTTGGTTTTGCTGCTGTTACCATGGTGTCAAAGAAAAACATGCATTCACTCGCATGCAAGACTAATCAAAGTACTGTACATGTAATTAAATACTTTTAAAATATAGCCACTTTTATAGAGTAGGAACTATGACCCAACAATGTCTGACATAGCGATAATGTAATAATTCACATCATGTGATCTTGGGAACAGTGACCCCTCCAGAAACTGTCGAGGTATGAGGCCTCTTATGTCCATCCAAGAATACATATAATCTAGGCTGCAGCTCTGAGGGTTTGCTGCTTTGTCAGAGATATCACTTATCCAATTTCATGTTAAACCAGTTAACAATTCAAATGAAAGACAATATTGTCTGAAAGTGCAGCACTCACTCAGCCCTGTGCAGGCAGTGGCAATTATTTAGAGCAACTACAGGGCAAGGTGATGGCCTAGAGGTATTATTGCTGGACTGTTAACCCAGAGAGTCAGATAATGTTCTGAGGAGCCAGGTTTGAATCCCAACATGGCAGATGGTAGAATTTGAATTCAGTAAGTATCTGTAAGTGAAGAGTCTGATGATGACCATGATTCCTTTGTCGATTGTCAGGAAAATCTCATCTGGTTTTCTCATGTTCTTTAGGGAAGGAAACTGCTGTCCTTATCTGGTCTGGCCTACATGTGACCCACAGCAATGTGGTTAACTTTTAACTGCCTTCCGGGCAATAAGGGATGGGCAATAAATGCTGCATGGCCAGTGATGCCCTCATCTTGTGAACGAATAAAGAAAAAAAGCTTAAGTAATTGGAGAGGAGCCTTCGTCCACATGACTTTCAAGGCAAGGGCTAGGTTGACTCTCTAAACAAAAACCAAAAGAACTGCGGATGCTGTAAATCAGGATCAAGCTCAGCAGATCTGGCAGCATCTGTGAAGAAAGAATCAGGATTAACGTTTCGGGTCTGGTGACTCTTTCCTCAGAACTGATGGTAGCTGGGAAAACATTGGTTTATATGCAGTAAATAGGGAGGGGAATAGGGTAGGGAGTAAACGATAGGATAGAGCCCAAAGAAACGGAACAGCAGTTGGATAGATAAAGGAGTTGATAACAAATCAACCTACTGACTCTCTTAAACCCCTGATGCACTTTAAAATCCATTTCTATATATTGCATTTAAGGGCATTAAGCTTTGCTTCCGAATGCACTCATCTCAGGATTTCGTAAAAGGTCAATTAATTTTGATGTATATTGCACTCAAATCTATAGTATGCCTAATTTTCAAACAGCTGTATGATTTAAATGTACTTGTAGTCTGTTCGCTCATCTTGGTCATAAATTTCACTCCTGTGCATTCTCCAGTGAGAAAGCCTTGTGCACTAGTGGGCAGTGTCCCTGCCTTTTAGCTAAAATTTTTTTTAAAAGTGCAGATGCTGGAAGCAAAAACTGAAATGGCTGGAAAAATCTCAACGGGTCTGGCAGCAGCGTTAACGTTTTGTTTCCAGCGACCCTTCTTCAAAGCTGATAAAAAGTTTGGTATATATGCTGAAGAAGGGGTGGACCAAGGAGGAAAGAGTAAACGACAGGTAGAGACGGAATTCAGGGAGAGAGGAAAAAACATTTGGGCAGACAAAGGAACAGGTAAAGGTCAGCCTGGGGGAATGAGTAGCTGCTAACAGGGACCATTAGTGGCAGACAATGGGTTGTTTGTGGTAGCAGTTCATGTGATAACAAGACCGGGTGTGAGAGGGTTGGGGGTAAAGATGTGTGAGAGGGTTGGGGGTAAAGACATGGGAGAAAGTGATCAGGCCCTGAAAGAATTGAACTCAGTATGGAGTCCAGAAGATTGCAGGATTCTCAAGCAGAAAATGAGGTGCTATTCTTCCAGCTAGTGCTGAGCTCAACTGAAGCAGCCTGGCCAACATCTGTGTCTCAGTTTTGCAATGGTTCTCCAGTGAAGCGCAGCACTAGCTGGAAGAACAACACCTCATTTACGCTTGGGAACCCTACAACCTTTTGGACTCGATATCGAGTTAGATACTTTTAGGGCTGAACACCCTCTCCCATGTCCTTACACCAAACCCCACACAACAGGCCTTGTCAACACATGGACTGCTACCACAAATAACACATTGTCAGCCACTAACCGTCCTTATTAGCAGGTATTGATTTCCCCCAAACTGACCATTATCCATTCCTTTGCTCAATTTTATTTTCCTCTCTTTCTGGGCTCCATCTCAACCCATCTATTACTGTTTCTTCCTCCGTCCACCCTGTCTTCAGCATATATACCAACCTTTTCCTAGCTAGAACTAGCTCTGAAGAAGGATCACTGGACGTGAAATGTTAATTTTGCTTTCTCTCTACAGATGCTGGAAGACCTACTGAGTTTTTCCAGCAATTTTGGGTTTTGTTTTAGCTGAAATCTTCGCGTTCAATTCCCACTCCAGAACTGATGGCTAAGGAAGGTGAGTTCATAATATAACTAAGCAAATGGAGAGCCAACTTCTAAATCCTACCAATATACTTCAATAACAAGAAGTAAGAGTGGAAGAGTTACCTTGTTAACCATGTGGTGGAAAGAGCCACTACCATCGTTATCCTTAGCTCCAAGCTACAATACGCTCATAAAAGCACATGTTGCCATAGTAACTTGGACTTCCTGAGTAAACTGTAACACACCACCACAATTTTCAAGTGTTCTTTACTTCAAAGTTTGAGAAGATTTGCAGCTCGGGCTGTGGATGAGGTTGTAGATATGCTCGCCAAGTGGTGGGTTTGGTTGCAAACATTTCATCCTTTAGGTAGGTGTCGTAGAGATACCCAAAAAGCACAATATGCCATTATTTCCGAGACAGACCACAACAGGAAGACACGACACAACCAGATTCACTAATCACTCTAACATACATCAAGGACATTTCAGAGATAACCGCAAGACTACTCAGACTCCTAGGTATCAGAGTAACCCACAGACTAACAACCACCGTACGACAGCGACTTAGGAACGTAAAGGATCCCGTACCCAAAACTAGCAAAACTGGGTAATATACAAAATACCATGCAAGGA